CACGCACAGAAACAATGACCCAACACAGCCATAAATTAATTAATTAATTAAATAAAATTTAAACTTCCCTCTTAGAACTGCTTTTGCTGCATCCCACAGGTTTTCGGTTGTCATGTTTTCACTGTCATTTGTTTCTAGGTATTTTTTTATTTCCCCTTTGATTTCTTCAGTGATCTCTTGGTTATTAAGTAGTATACTGTTCAGCCTCCATGTGTTTGTGATTTTGACATATTTTTTCCTGTAAATGATATCTAGTCTCAGAGCGTGGTGGTCAGAAAAGATACTTGATACGATTTCAATTTTCTTAAATTTACCAAAGCTTGATTTGTGACCCAAGATATGATCTATACTGGAGAATGTTCCATGAGCACTTGAGAAGAAAGTGTATTCTGTTGTTTTTGGATGGAAGGTCCTATAAATATCAATTAAGTCCATCTTGTTTAATGTATCATTTAAAGCTTGTGTTTCCTTATTTATTTTCATTTTGGATGATCTGTCCATTGGTGAAAGTGGGTTGTTAAAGTCCCCTACTATGATTGTGTTACTGTCGATTTCCCCTTTTATGGCTGTTAGTATCTGCCTTATGTATTGAGGTGCTCCTACGTTGGGTGCATAAATATTTACAATTGTTACATCTTCTTGGATTGATCCCTTGATCATTATGTAGTGTCCTTCTTTGTCTCCTTGTTTTAAAGTCTATTTTGTCTGATATGAGAATTGCTACTCCAGCTTTCTTTTGATTTCCATTTGCATGGCATATCTTTTTCCATCCCCTCACTTTCAGTCTGTATGTGTCCCTAGGTCTGAAGTGGGTCTCTTGTAGACAGCAGATATATGGGTCTTTTCTTTGTATCTATTCAGCCAGTCTATGTCTTTTGGTTGGGGCATTTAACCCATTTACATTTAAGGTAATTATCAATATGCATATTCCTATTACCATTTTCTTAATTGTTTTGGGTTTGTTATTGTAGGTCTTTTCTTTCTCTTGTGTTTCTTGCCTAGAGAAGTTCCTTTAGCATTTGTTGTAGAGCTGGTTTGGTGGCGCTGAATTCTCTTAGCTTTTGCTTGTCTGTAAAAGTTTTAATTTCTCCATCAAATCTGATGAGATCCTTGCTGGGTAGAGTAATCTTGGTTGTGGGTTTTTCCCTTTCATCACTTTAAATATGTCCTGCCACTCCCTTCTGGCTTGCAGAGTTTCTGCTGAAATATCAGCTGTTAACCTTATGGAGATTCCCTTGTATGTTATTTGTTGTTTTTCCCTTGCTGCTTTTAATATGTTTTCTTTGTATTTAATTTTTGACAGTTTGATTAATATGTGTCTTAGCATGTTTCTCCTTGGATTTATCCTGTATGGGACTCTCTGTGCTTCCTGGACTTGATTAACTATTTCCTTTCCCATATTAGGGAAGTTTTCAACTATAATCTCTTCAGATATTTTCTCAGTTCCTTTATTTTTCTCTTGTTCTTCTGGGACCCCTATAATTTGAATGTCAGTGCATTTAATGTTGTCCCAGAGGTCTCAGAGGTCTCTTGAGACTGTCCTCACTTGTTTTCATTCTTTTTTAATTCTGCTCTGCAGTAGTTATTTCCACTATTTTATCTTCCAGGTCACTTATCCATTCTTCTGCCTCAGTTATTCTGCTATTGGTTCCTTCTAGACAGTTTTTAATTTCATTTATTGTGTCGTTCGTTTGTTTACTCTTTAGTTCTTCTAGGTCCTTGTTAAACGTTTCTTGTATTTTCTCCATTCTACTTCCAAGATTTTGGGTCATCTTTACTATCATTAGTCTGAATTCTTTTTCTGGTAGACTGCCTATTTCCTCTTCATTTGTTTGGTCTGGTGGGTTTTTACCTTGCTCCTTCATCTGCTGTGTGTTTCTCTGTCTTCTCATTTTGCTTAACTTACCGTGTTTAGGGTCTCCTTTTTACAGGCTGCAGGTTTTTAGTTCCCGTTGTTTTTGGTATCTTCCCCCAGTGGCTAAGGTTGGTTCAGTGGGTTGTGTAGGCTTCCTGGTGGAGGGGACTAGTGCCTGTGTTCTGGTGGATGAGGCTGGATCTTGTCTTTCTGGTGGGCAGGTCTGCATCTGGTGGTGTGTTTTACGGTGTCTGTGACCTTATTATGACTTTAGGCAGCGTCTCTGCTAATGGGTGGGGTTGTGTTCCTGTCTTGCTGGCTGTTTTCGCATAGGGTGTCCAGCACTATAGCTTGCTGGTCGTTGAGTGGAGCTGGGTCCTGGCATTGAGATGGAGATTTCTGAGAGATTTTCACTGTTTGATATTACATGGAGCTGGGAGGTCTCTGATGGACCAATGTCCTGAAGTCGGCTTTCCCACCTCAGAGGCACAGGCCTGACGCCCAGCCAGAGCACGAAGACCCTGTCATCCACACGGCTCAGAATAAAGGGGAGAAAAAAAGAAATAAAGGAAATAATAATAATAATAATAAAATAAAGTTATTAAAATAAAAGTTATTAAAATTTTTTAAAAATTTAAAAATTAATTAAAAAGAAAGAGAGCAACCAAACCAAAAAACGAATCCACCAATGATAACAAGCACTAAAATCTATACTAAAAAAAAACCAAAAAACAACAGACAGAACCCTAGGTCAAATGGTAAAAGCAAAGTTATACAGACAAAAATCACACACAGAAGCATACACATACACACTCAGAAGAAGAGAAAAAGGAAAAAATATATATATATCATTGCTCCCAAAGTCCACCACCTCAATTTGGGATGATTTGTTGTCTATTCAGGTATTCCATAGATGCAGGGTACATTAAGTTGATTGTGGAGATTTAATCCACTGCTCCTGAGGCTGCTGGGAGAGATTTCCCTTTCTCTTCATTGTTCGCACAGCTCCTGGGGTTCAGCTTTGGATTGGGCGCTGCCTTTGCGTGTAGGTGGCCTGAGGGCATCTGTTCCCCACTCAGACAGGATGGGATTAAAGTATCAGCTGATTAGGGCGCTCTGGCTCACCCAGGCTGGGGGGGTGGGGGGTGGAGAGGGGTACAGAATGCGGGGCAAGCCTGCGGTGGCAGACGCCAGCATGATGTTGCACCAGCGTGAGGCACGCTGTGTCCAGGGATGCTGTCCCTGGATCATGGGACCCTGGCAGTGGTGTGCTGCACAGGCTCCCAGGAGGGGAGGTGTGGACAATGACCTGTGCTTGCACACAGGCTTCTTGGCAGCTGCAGCAGCAGGCTTAGTGCCTCATGCCCGTCTCTGGGGTCCGCATTGATAGCTGTGGCTCGTGCCCATCTCTGGAGCTCCTTTAAGCAGCGCTCTTAATCCCCTCTCCTTGCGCACCGCGAAACAAAGAGGCAAGAAAAAGTCTCTTGCCTCTTCGGCACCTCCAGACCTTTTCCCGGACTCCCTCCTGGCTAGCTGTGGCGCACTAACCCCCTTCAGGCTGTGTTCACACAGCCAACCCCAGTCCTCTCCCTGGGGTCTGACCCCCGAAGCCTGAGCCTCAGCTCCCAGCTCCCACACCCCCACTCCCTGGCGGGTGAGCAGACACGCCTCTCGGGCTGGTGAGTGCTGGCTGGTATCGATCCTCCATGCGGGAATCTCTCTGCTTTGCCCTCCACACCCCTGTTGCTGCGCTCTCCTCCGTGGCTCCAAAGCTTCCCCCCCCACCACCCATGAAGGGGCTTCCTACTGTGTGGAAACCTTTCCTCCTTCACAGCTCCCTCCCACTGGTGCAGGTCCCATCTCTCGTCTTTTGTCTCTGTTTTTTCTTTTTTCTTTTGCCCTACCCAGGTACGTGGGGAGTTTCTTGCCTTTTGGGAGGTCTGAGTTCTTCTGCCAGCGTTCAGTAGGTGTTCTATAGGCGTTGTTCCACATGTAGATGTATTTCTGATGTATTTGTGGGGAGGAAGGTGATCTCCACATCTTACTCTTCCGCCATCTTATTTTTTTTTCTGGCTCCGTTGGGTCTTCATTGCTGCGTGCGGGTTTTTCTCTATTTGCGGCGAGCAGGGGCTACTCTTCGTTGCAGCGTGCGGGTTTCTCATTGCGGTGGCTTCTCTTGTTGCAGAGCACAGGCTCTAAGCACATGGGCTTCAGTAGTTGTGGTTCACGGGGTCTAGAGCACAAGCTTAGCAGTCGTGGTGCACTGGGCTTAGGTGCTCCGCGGCATGTGGGATCTTTCCGGACCAGGGCCCGAACCCATGTTCCCTGCATTAGCAGGCAGATTCTTAACCACTGCGCCACCATGGAAGCCCTCTTCCGCCATCTTGAAGCTCCTCCCCTGCTTTGTTCAAGGGTCAACTGTACTTATATTTGCTTTCTTGTACCACTTTTTGTTTTCTCATTTTCTTTTTCATTTGCTTAATTTTCTCTGAACCTATCACTCTTTATCCCATAACTCTCCAAGAGGGCTATAAACTTATCTCTTGTGATCACTTCCTGTCACATCCTGCTTCAAGCCTCTCCATGACTCACCACAGCTGCTTCCAGAATAAAGCTCAACTTCAGCCTCCACAGTTTGGTTCCAGACTTGAGCCTCATCTCTTGGCCCCTGTGCCACGGGCCTCCCCTTGCGCAAGAGACAAAGGCAGCCAGCCCCCATACCTATGATGCTGGTTTTAGCCTGTGCCTTGTTCCACGTGGGTTTTGCTTGCCTGGGACACCCTCTCCTGTCTGTTTCCAGTTCTACCCCACTGCAACCTCAGAACCCTTGCCAGAGTCCACTTTGCTGGGAAGCCATCCTGGACCTACAATGCTTATGTAGCTATTCTTCCTTGGGGCTTCCTTAGCTCTCTAGGCATCTCTGGGAGTGTTCCCAACCAGCTGTCTTGGCACATAATTAGCTGAGTGGACAGCAACATGGCTGGGTGGGACTACCAGTTAGCAAGAAAAAACAAATACAAAAAACCAAATCTCAAAAAGGGAGACAGTCTTGGCTTTGTGAAAATTTAGCAGCAACTGTCTCCCAGCTCAGAGTCAGGCTGACCACTAGAGCCCAGAGGCCAACACCACACCTTAAGCCACTCACCCCACTTGCAGCCCACAAGCACGGGGCAGGCAGCATGTCTCGTTCGGTAGTCACCTTCCCCACTCCGCAGGAGGTTGTACCAGAATACAGCCGTGCCCTGGAAAGAGAAGCCCTGTCATACAACACCCTTAGATATTGGGCTCAAGGATCTGACCCCGAGTACCAAAGAGCCCTCCCTGAGTAGAAACACCCTCACTTTCCCATGTCCAGGGGCACAGGGCTTTGGGACTCCAGTACAGAGAAGCTCCCCAGAAAGCACCTACCCTTCACGGTAGCGTGGATGTTTGGAATCCCACCTGGCCCTGAAGGGACTTCCCTCTCCATCCCATCTCGCCAGATGGAAGCTGAGACCACAGGTCAGGGTTCAGGCAGGAAGGGGCTAAGGTCCCTCAAAGTGATAGTCAAGCAGGCCAGAGAATGGGACTAGGAGACATGGATGAGGTCTGAGTTCTGCACTTCAACTTTTGACCCACAAGAACCAGAACTTACCTTCTTAGGCCAAAGTGCAGCCCCCAGATCAGGAAAGACAGTGGCACCACCAGCTTCCACATCGCTCATCTGGGAATACAAGGCATAGAGCTTGGCCCTTCTACTCAATGCTCTCAGAGCAACTGAGCCACCAAGGACATGACAAAGTATGCGGATCACCCTCCTCTGAGCATGAGCAACTCCACTACCAGCCCTTTGGCCAAGAAAGGCTCTTCCCACACCCTGCCCCTCCCTAAACACTGTTTAATCTGTGTGGTTCATCAGGACAGTCTCCATGCCACGGAGAGATGTAGGCCTGCAGGATACCCATATCCTGGCTGTCCTCAAGTGGGAAAAATCTGAGTCTGTACTGGGAAAATGCCTGAATGACCCCCAACCCCTTTATCCTCATCCAGGCTGGCCTGCCTAAGCCACTCTGCCCTGTGAGCTTCCCTGACCAGGAGCTCCCTGCAGCTTCTAACACCATCTGTGGTCCCAACTATGGATTCTGTTTCTCTGGCTTGAGTAACGTGCAGCTCTAGTCAGACCCTCACCTTCCCAGAACAGCTACCTTCCCCAGGGCCAGCTAGGGCACTGTGTCTCCAGAAGGCCTGCTTTCTCCCACAGTAAAACCTCAAACTAAATGGAACACAATATCCACAGTAGCAAGGCTGCACTCATGCCCAAAGCGCCACTTCTTTCTCATCTGTCTCTTCCTTCAAGTTTTTTGCCTGTAATGTAATCAAACGTGGAGCTAAAATATTTCCACAGGACACATACCAGACAGACTGAAAGGCACCCAACAGACATATGGTAAATGAATAAGATGAAAACCCCTGATGGCTTCCCACCAGAGTGGGGATCAAATCCAGGCTCTTTTCTAGAACCTGAAGGTCCTGGCAGTCTCACCAGCCTCTCCCTCTAGCCACCCCAGATTAATGCACTATCTCTGAGACCCACAACCCTTTTTCTCTTTTTCCAACATCCCAATCTCCTTCCCTCTTCCAGGTCTCCACACATTCTCTTCTCTACCAGAAATCATGTTCCACCAACTAATTTCCACTCAATCTTCAAGTCTCAACCGACATGTTACTTCCCAAGGTAGGCCTTCTCTGAACCCCAACTCTGCACTACTTCTTCAAAGCACTTATCACTATGGTAACTAAACAATTACCTCTCCTATGTTTAAAAGTAAGTCTTTCATATTAGGACCGTAAGCCTAAGAGAGACCACAAATGTCCTGCTCACCAGCATGTTCACGGCAGTCCCCAGCACATAATAACCACATGATAAAAACTTAAACGAGACACCAAAGGGAAAAGTGGACACAGGCTTTTGTCTCTAAGTTACTTGACAGCTTCTATGCCTCTCTAGACCTGGCTGTCTCAGTAGAGGGGAGAGGAAACTGTTCCTTGTGTGAGAGGTAAACCCAACAGCCTGTGGCTGGAGGACAGGCAGCAGGTGGCAGGCAGGCAGGCAGGCCACTGAGCTCTGGGGAAACGAGGGCAGCTTCATCTAAGAGCACTTCCAAGCTACCTCCTCACTCTGCTGCCAAGCAGGGAACCCTCCAGGACACCCATCCCAAAAGACCAGACTAGCTCTGGGCCATCAAATAGGAGCCAGGGATGTAAAAGTCACAGGGGTTGGGGGAAGCACACAAATGGGAACAAAGGGCAACTCCCTACTCCAGCCAAGAAGGGCGCTGAGGGCCACAAGGGCCCAGCCATCAAGCAACAGCTGGTGGTATCAGCTCTGACAGGAGTGGATATAAGAGAGCACCCTGGACCCAGGCTCCCCTTAAGGCCCATACGCTGCACGCGTCATACTCACGTAGTTTAAGAACGTGGCCACACGATTCCCCGTCCCTAAATGCTTGAAAGCATCTTGCTCATCCTTCTATAAAATTAAGTGAGAGTAAACAGTGGGCCTGTACCCAATACTTACATAGTTAAGAAACGTCGCTAACCTATTTCCCTCCGTTTTGAGGCCGCTGTCAAAAGGTCGCTGCAATAGACAACAACTTTCACCCGAGTTTGCAACTGACTTCACCCACCACCCACAGGACTGGGGCCAAAAAGGTCAAGAGAAGGTACTAAGTATGTGTTCCATATATTGGCCTGGACCAGGGGCCAAGGCTGCAAAGGAAACCCTGGCCAGGCATGGGGGAGAGGGGGCAGGAACAGCTTTCACAGAGACCTAGTGAGGTCCTCTGCTTTAGAGTCAGGGCAAAGAATGGCAGGCTTGGGCCAGGGGGACCACTCCTGACCTCACAGGGGAAACAGCTGGGCTGCACTTGGCTCTGGACTTGGGCTTCTCCAGCAACAAAGATGGGGCCCTGGTGAGGCAGGGGGGCCTGATGTGAAGGCCACAGTGCTCCTAAAAGCTCCAGCCTTCTCAAACCAGCTACAGCAGAGCCCTTGAAAGCACCTGTGATTTGGGCCTTACCCTAGAGAAGTCAAAGTGTGGCTCGTACTGTCCTCCCATTCCATAATTAGCAACCTGGTGGGAAATAACAGCATTGGACTGTTAGCAGCATGAACCACCCTGAAGCAGCCCATCTCCCTAGGTAACAACCAGATCCCCAAGAGCAGCCTCTCTAAGGAGGGTAACTATCCCCTACCAGTATGGGCAGAACAAATGCTGCAAACAGGTCCACAACTGTGTCCAAGAGGAAGGGTGCAGCACAAATGTGGTTTCCCAAAAAGGAAAAGATGGGCAAGCTGCAGATGGCCACTGTGGAGAAGCTCTAGCCCTTCAGGGACACTTGGACAGCAGCAGAGGGAGCCCACCTTGAGGCAGGCCCTGGCCTGGGCCCTGATTATTTGGAAGATCATGAGATGGTAATCCAGAAGAATGCCAACAAACTCAGGATTGGGTTTTTTTTTAATGCTAGTTTGGAAGCTACTCAGTGCCTGGCAGTGCTCCTGTCATCTCTGTCACCATGCCCCAGAAGCTCTTCTTGGTCAGTCTGAATAGGACAAACAAATCCCACTCCATCTCACAGTGGTACACTGCACAGAGTAATTCTGCATCCAAGTGAAGCAGCAGGGAATGGGCGGCTGGCTGCAGGGGGACCAAAACCGCTGCTCTACCTCAGTGCCCCCAGTGGGAGCCTGGACCTGGAATAGGGCCTGAGCCACCTCAGGTGCCACTAATTGGATTAGAAATCATAAATGCCTTTATGAACAGTTTATCAGCACAATATAAGTCCTAAATCACAATGGTTATTTTAGCTTCAGTAGCTAGATGAGAGATGAAGTTCAAGACAAAATACAGAATCTGACATGAAAGCTGATGTACCAAATGGTACCACCAATGTCCATTTGGGAACACTTGGCTACTGTATCTTAATGAAACCATACACACCTTTGGAGTTCAAATATTAGTCCTCAGAAAATTGATTTTGTATATCCGTTTTGGCAATTCTAACAGGTGAAAGATGCTGCAAAACTGGCAATAATGGCGACCCATGGACATGAGGGAGAGAGAGGAAGAGTGAGCTTTACAAGAGAGAAAATCCTCCTCTTGGAGTAAAAAACAGTATTTATCAAATGTGATGAAATGTGGGTTTTCGGCAGCATGATTTTTCAGTGTCCAAAAAAATTAAAATGTTGATATGAAGAATTAGAATCAGTGAGAAAATATGCTGTCATATACTGCTTTAGCCTTCAAGATTCCCACACCAGGGGCTTCCCTGGTGGCGCAGTAGTTAAGAATCCGCCTGCCAATGCAGGGGCCACAGGTTTGAGCCCTGGTCGGGGAAGATCCCACATGCCGTGGAGCAACTAAGCCCATGCGCCACAACTACTGAGCCCGCGCACCTAGACCCTGTGCTCCGCGACAAGAGAAGCCACCGCAGTGAGAAGCCCGCGCACCACAACGAAGAGTAGCCCCTGCTCGCAGCAACTAGAGAAAAAGCCCGCATCCAGAAACGAAGACCCAACGAGGCCAAAAATACATAAATTTATTTTTTTTTAATTAAAAAAAAAGATTCCCACACCAAAAATAGCTAGAAATCCTATCAACAGTGCAAGGAGGCCTAGTGCAAGGAGGTCAGCAGGTGACCCTAAGCCTGGAGGTTCATCTAAGGAGGAAAGTTCTAGAGCAGTTGATGAAGTGACATTACAAATGCTTTTTCTTTGGATCCACTATAGTCGAGAACTTGAAGAAAATTTTAAACATGACTGTGATCAATTTGCCAGTGCACTCAGGAAAATTCAGTTGCTGCTTGTTGTTGGAGCAGCAGGGTATGACTGCATTTTCCAACACTCCCACTTGTTGGATGGAGTGCTTAAACTTTCACTACCTGGGGATAATGAAAGAAGCTGTATTGTTAACAGCTGGCTCATCTTTTATCAGTTTTGGGAATCACATTTGATCATGGTGCTAAAGCTATTGTACCTATACTATTTTAATACTGTCCCCAAATAGTACAAGTGTCACAGGAACTTCCGGATGTGCAGCCATCAGAATCACCATCTGGGAAAACTCCAGGCCACAGACCCATACCTTTAATAACAATCAAAACTGATTCCTGGGAGGAGGTATTCATTTGTTACAAAAGTAGAAGAATCAGTCCTTTGAAAAATGTGAGTATTTATGATACTGAGGTCAGAATGAAGGGGAAAAAATGGTTAGAAATCACTTATTTGGTGAGGCTGAGACATCTAGTCGGAAGTGTCTTCAATCTTCAAGAATTCTGGCAATGTAGCATCTCTTCCACTCTTAGGCCCTCATCCAATTCAAAAGAAAGCCTCTTTTGCCCTTTCTTCCAAATAATCTATAGCAAACACATCAACTACAGATGAAAGAG